CCCACTTGCCCCTTGGGGCTTCCATACGAGATTTAACACAGGCACACAGCTTGGTATCATACCACAAAGATGATCATGCTGTTCCCCCCCAGGATGATGATGTAACCCAGTAGCAGGATGACAAACGGGATCATCTGTCTGTCACCGAGGCTGGAGAGGCCCTGAAGGATGAAGAAGGTGACACCATCAGGCTCCCTGGTGCCGTTAACAGAGCTGGATCTGTGACTGGTCGACGAGGGTGGGTCAGAATCTGGAGACACAAGTAGAGAGGTGTCAGTGTTGAGTCACAGTGCACTTCAAGGCGCATGGTCCAAAGAAGGGTTATGGTCCATGTTCACCTAGTGAATGGTGCATTTCATCCTGGGTAACATGGAATTTTACCTCAGCCTCATCATATTTCCATCCTCATTATTCATACACATGGAAGAACAAATTGTGTATGTAAATGGCACCTTGATTTGAGAGTTCAACTGAAAAAATATTAAGATATTCGATTTCGTCATGTAGAAGACAAAAAATGTTCTTGAGAATATTTAACAATAGCAACAAAATATGAGATGCCAGTTATTTTTAAATTACATTTTAAATGTATTTTTATAAATTCTGATTTATGTCGTAGTAAACACAAAACCTTTTGATTTTAACTGTTGAATCAATAAAATAACAAAATATAAGACACTGCCATGGATACTGGACATTGCACTAGGAATCTTAATTTGTCACTACATTGAAACAAAATAATGACAAAAGTAATTTAGGCCAAAATAAAATAAAATAAAATTTAATTAAATGAAATTAAAGAAAATTAAACACATGTAATATAAAAACTTAATTTCTAGGCAGGGTTGTGAAACATATCTTCATTCTTTTTACTTGTCATAATGATGCTATAGCAGTGGCAAAGAACAGAACATAATATAACAATTGCACTTTTTGTTAGTGTGGAAACATCAGCCAACAAAGTCAGAACTTCACAGTATTGGACCAGAACAAACAGTAAAGGGATTAGAAAACAGGTGTTCATTGTGAAGAAAGCTGCAAAAATACACCAAAAACCTGACAAAGGTGATTCATGTTCAAGGTGATTTCCATGCTGCCTGATAAATGCACTGTGATGAACTGAAGTAAAATTAATACAAAACCTGAAGGTGTAAATGTCTCCTCCACTCTCAGGTCAAGTAGATTTTATGCTCCAACACCTAAAAAGATTGTTGTTCCATATTGCAATAAATAACCTTATTACTAAAATACTAGAGTGTGCACATGAGGAGGAACTTGTTTTAACATCAGGCCAAATCAGTAATATGTCTCATTAGATAAAAAATGTGATAAAATAATCATTTGTGAATCAAATCAAAGAATCAACTCAGCACTGAGATAAATGAAGACATTAGCAAATGGTGTTGGG